AGCGCATCTGCACCACTCACCACTCACTGGCCTGGAATCCTGGGAAAGGGATGTCCCCAGGCCAAGCCCAGGGGTCTGGGGACAGAGCAGGGCCCAGGGGACACCACCCAATGGGCGACTAGAGAGCAGGCGGGCCCTCGGCTGAGTCACCCCACATGTCTGGATGAGTGTTCCCGAGAGACCAGGAAGTGGAGCTGTGACAGGCTCCACACGCCCACCGCCTGCCAGCACCTCCGGCTGCCGGCCCACACGTGCATCTGGACGGCACAGGCCTCTGTTCCCCGCTGGCCCTGGGCCCGACCCCTGCCTGGCCGCCTGGCTGCCCGGCTGCCCGGCTTCCGTCCTGGGGCGCTGGGCCGCCTCACGGCTTGTGCCCCCGCCACCAGCTGCTCTCGCCTGCTGGTCCCCCGTGGCTGTGTCCCGGCACCTATGGCCAGAGGCCATTTTTCTCTGCCCATGATGTGGGGGCTTCGCTGGGTCTCCTCCCTCCCTGCCTGTGCCCCTCCCCTGGGGAAACCCTCACATCCCATCCGCCAGGTCCCCCAGAACCCCAAACCTCTTCTCCACCCTCCAGACCCCCTGGCCGGGTGACTTCACCTCTCTGTAAAATGGGCACAGATGGTCCCCTTGGTGGCTATTTTGAGAATTAAGTGACCTGGAGCTCGCGAGAGGGGCTTTAGTGAGTGATGGCTGGGATGCCGGCTTGTCCTGGCTCTGGGTTCCCCCCCACTCGGCCTCGGCACGTGGGAGAGAGCAGACAGGTCCGCGATGGGGAACCTCAGGGCCCACAGAGTCTGGGGCATGAGTGGGAGGGGTTGCCGGGAGCCAACACGTCACCCCCACCCCCGCCACCCTGTGGCCTGGCCCTGACCCCTGCCTAGGCCTGGCCACCAGGAGCTGAACTCATAGCTGGGGGACAGCAGCTGGCGACACTGCCCGGTCCAAGGCTAATCAGATTACTCGGGTCTGTGCTCCTGCTACTCAACGCACGACAGCTGGGCCCCTGCCCTGTCCCTTCTGGCTTCTCCCCACACTCAGTCCTGCAGCCTCCCTGCCCCTCCTCCTCCAGGCAGACCTCCTGCCGGTCCCTCTGCGCCCCTCTTGCTTCTCCACAGCGCCTGACCTCCGAGACCAGGACCCCAGGGTCTTGGTTCCCCCTCATTGGAAGATTCTGGAATTCCAGCCCCCAGAGACCTCCAGGGTCCCGGGTCCCCTTGCCCCTTGCCTTCCTGCCTCTAAGCCGCGAGGACTCTGCTCTGTGGATCCTGGGCTCCTCCTGGCTCCTTGCCTCCCACATCCCTCCCCCACCACCCAGCTCCTCCCTGGCTCTCTCCCTGGCCCCCCCATCCCCAGGGGCTCCCCCAGACATAACGCAACCAGGCTGGAGCCTGCAGGGAGGGGGGAGGAGAGAGGGGGATGAAATTACAGCGGCTCCTGCTTGGAGCCTCCGGAGTGGGGACCCAGGGGACCCTAATCCGATGCGAATAATGGAGCAATTGCCAGACCCAGGCACGGCGCCCTGGGGAGCTGAGCCCATAGCCACCTGCAGCCAGATGCAAGGGTCCAGCTTCCCTCAGGCCCGCGCTGAGGCTCCTGGAAGAGGGGTGGGGATGCAAAGAGGAGGGGCTGCCCCTCAGCGGCCCTGGGCCAACCAGGAAGACTCAATGGCTGAACCCCCGACTTCCCTGTGTGCACCTCCCGGGGCGGGGGCAACGACCACACAGAAGGTGCTGCTTTGTTTGATTTTGGGATTCTTTGGTTGGTGTGTTTTTTTGTTTTGTTTTGTCTTTTGTTTTTTTTTTTATAGATTTATATATATATATATATATATATATATAGACAGGCAGAGTGGACAGTGAGAGAGAGAGACAGAGAGAAAGGTCTTCCTTTGCCGTTGGTTCACCCTCCAATGCCCGCCACGGCCGGCGCACCGCGCTGATCCGATGGCAGGAGCCAGGTGCTTCTCCTGGTCTCCCATGGGGTACAGGGCCCAAGCACTTGGGCCATCCTCCACTGCACTCCTGGCCACAGCAGAGAGCTGGCCTGGAAGAGGAGCAACCGGGACAGAATCCGGCACCCCGACCAGGACTAGAACCTGGTGTGCCGGCGCCGCAGGCGGAGGATTAGCCTATTGAGCCGCGGCGCCGGCCAGATTTATATTATTTTTATTTGAAAGTCAGAGTTACAGAGAGAAAGAGATCTTCCATCTGCTGGCTCACTCTTCAAATGGTGGCAGCTGGGGCTGGGCCAGGCCTAAGCCGGGAGCCAGAAACTCCATCCCAGTCTCCCACGTGGGTGCAGGGGCCCAAGCACTCAGGCATCGTCTGCTGCTTTCCCAGGTGCATCAGCAGGGAGCTGGATGGGAGTGGAGCCGCCGGGTCTCAGGTGCTTCAATGGGGGACCCCAGCATTAGGTGGTGGCTAAACCTGCTGCGCCACAACACAGGCCCCTGTTTGTTTCGAGAAGCAGAGAGAGAGAGAGAGAGAGAGAGAGAGAGAGAGAGAGAGAGATCCTGATTCCTTTCCCCCAGTATCTCCTGCCATGGCTGGGGCTGGGGCTGGGGCACAGTGAGATCAGGAACCAGGAACTGAATCAGGGCTCGCCTACGTGGGTAGCAGGGAACAACTCCTTGTGCCATCCCCGCGGCCTCCCAGGGTCTGCGCTAGTGCGATGCTGGAATCCGGAGCAGAGCTGGGCCTGGAATCCAGAGCCACTGACTCGGGGCACAAGCGTCTTCACCGGGGTTGTCACCAGTGCGCCAGACGACGCCCCTCTTTCATCTTTCTTCCTTTCTTTAAAGATTTTTTTTTTTTTTTTTGACAGGCAGAGTGGACAGTGAGAGAGAGACAGAGAGAAAGGTCTTCCTTTGCCGTTGGTTCACCCTCCAATGGCCGCCGTTGCAGCCGGCGCACCGCGCTGATCCGATGGCAGGAGCCAGGAGCCAGGTGCTTTTTCCTGGTCTCCCATGGGGTGCAGGGCCCAAGCACCTGGGCCATCCTCCACTGCACTCCCTGGCCACAGCAGAGAGCTGGCCTGGAAGAGGGGCAACCGGGACAGAATCCGGCGCCCCGACCGGGACTAGAACCCGGTGTGCCGGCGCCGCAAGGTGGAGGATTAGCCTATTGAGCCACGGCGCCGGCCTCCTTTCTTTAAAGATTTTTTAAAATTATTTTATTACTTTGAAAGACAAAGAGAGAGAGAGAGAGAGGTCTTCCATCTGCTAGGTTCACTCCCTAAATGGCCACAACAGCCAGGGCTGGGCCAGGCTGAAGCCAGGAGCCAGGAGCTTCTTCCGGATCTCCCACGCGGGTGCAGGGCCCCAGCACTTGGGCGTCCTCCACTGCTTTCCCAGGCCACAGCAGAGAGCTGGATTGGAAGTGGAGCAGCTGGGATGCGAATCGGCTTCCATTTGCGATGTCAGTGCTGCAGGCAGAGCCTTAGCCCACGGCACCGCAGCACCAGGCTGGACCCTCAGCTTCCTTAACTGGGAGTAGGGCAAGGTGGAGACTGGCGAACTGGAATGCCCAGGTCCCGTCCCCTAGCCGGTGGCCACCTGTGGGTCACCTGTGGGTCACTGGCCCTCACACCTCCAGGGAAGCCGGGAACACGGAGCTGCACGAGAAATGCTTCTGCTTTTCAACTTGGCAACCGAGCCAAGGACGTTGTAAGCAGCACATAGGCCGAAAGCAGTCACAAAATTACAGGACCGGAGCTGCGCATGCGCCGGCGGCCGCCCCCAAAGCGGGCGCCTCGGCTGCACGGGACCCCGGGGACAAATGAGGTGGGTGCAGGAATGAGCTCAGGGCCTGCCTGCTCTCTCTTCTCCGCTCGCTTCTCTCCTCTCCATGGCCTGAAGCTTTTTGTTGTTATTAAATAATTTTTTATTTATCTGAGAGAGAGAGAGAGAGAGAGTTCCCATCTGCTGGTTCACTCCCCAGATGCCCGCAACAGCCGGGCCTGGGCCAAGCCAAAGCTGCGAGCCAAGAACTCGACCTGGAGCCATCAGGGCTGCCTCCAGCATGAGCACTAGTGGGGACTTGGAATCGGGAGCCAAGCCGGGGCTTGAACCCAAGCACTTGGATAGGGGGGAGTGTCTGCAGCGATGTCTTTTTTATTTATTTATTTATTTATTTTACAGGCAGAGTGGACAGTGAGAGAGAGAGACAGAGAGAAAGGTCTTCCTTTGCCGTTGGTTCACCCTCCAATGGCTGCCGCAGCCGGCGCGCTGTGGCCAGCGCACCGTGCTGATCCGAAGGCAGGAGCCAGGTGCTTCTCCTGGTCTCCCATGGGGTGCAGGGCCCAAGCACTTGGGCCATCCTCCACTGCACTCCCTGGCCACAGCAGAGAGCTGGCCTGGAAGAGGGGCAACCGGGACAGAATCCAGCGCCCCGACCGGGACTAGAACCCAGAGTGCCGGCGCCGCTAGGCGGAGGATTAGCCTAGTGAGCCGCGGCGCCGGCCTGTCCCTAAGTTTCATAAACGCTCCAGCTGAACTGCCCCAGCCCAGCCCCGCACATTCTGTGTTGTCCAGATCTGTCTGTCCTGCTGGACTCGGCTCCCAGCAGAGCAGGGCCCGGGCTCAGCGACACCATGTCCTCAGCGTCTCCCAGAGCGGGGCCACAGTGAGTGGAGGAATGAGTGCTGGACATGACTGAACGAAGTCCAGTGGCGGAGGACAGACGTGGGCCTGTGCCGGGGGTAGGCAGATACAAAAGGGGGGGGTCATTCATTGGGTGTGTGTGCGTGTGTGTGCATTTAGAATTCCCAGGCACAGGGCGCAGAGGAGCGAGCTGGCGCCCCCAGCCCCGCCCCATCACCTCCCAGCTGGCTCAGTTTCCGCATCTGTAAGAGGTGTCTGGGGTTGTTGGGACAGTCCAATAAATTCAGGACAGGCCGTCGCACCCCGCACTCACTCGGGAGCGACGGGAAGGGACACCGCTTTCCCCACGCCAGCCACAAGCTCCGCCCCTGCCTCAGTTTCCCAGAAAGCACAGCACCAGCAGGGTCACCGACTTTATTGGATTCCGACTTGGGGGGGGGGGGGGCTCAGAGCAGCACGCAGAAGAGCCGCTTGTCGCGGAAGGGGTTCTCGGCGGCGGGTACCGGGGTCACCAGCGGGTCGTCCTTGGCGTGGGTCTCACAGAAAGCCAGGAGCTCGGCCGCCGCCTGTGACACCTGCGGGGGGGCCCCAGCGGAGACGCTGGCGCCGCGCCCCGCCCCTTGGCCCCACCCTCACCGAGCCCCGCCCCAGACCGGGCTCCCGAGGGGCTCCGCCCACTGCGGCGCCTCGCCCCGCCTCCTTGGCGCCGCCCTCACCGAGCCCCGCCCCTCCTCCGACCGGGCTCCGGAGGGGGCTCCACCCGCTCTCCGCCCCTGGGCCCCACCCTCGCCGAGCCCCGCCCCCCTCAGACCGGGCTCCCGAGGGGATCCTCCCACCGGCGGCGCCGGGCTCCGCCCCCAACGCGGCCCCGGGCAGACCCCAGCCCCAGAGCAGCGCCCCCGCCCGCTCTTCCTCTCCTGACCCAGCACCTTCATGCGGTCGATGTTCACCTCCAGCTTTAGCTGCTCCACGGTCTTGCGGGCCTCGGCGATCTTGGCCATGTTGTTGGACATGGCTGCGGTGGGGAAGGGGTTAAAAGCCGGGCGGGAGTGGGCGCTGCGGACCGGACCGGGACGCGTCTGGGTCCCCGAGTAGGGGTGGTGCTGGTGGGACGCAGGTGGAAGGCCGACGCGGGGAGAGATGATGGGCCCGGGAGGAGGGACCCAGGGCTGCACGGAATGGGGGGTACCCGAGGCAGGCGGGGCGGAGCAGACAGGAGCGAGGAGGGCGCACAGATGGGAGGCTGAGAGGCAGGTGCAGGCAGAGGCCCGGCCGGAAAGACGGGGCCACAGGTGCTAGGGCAGGATCCAGGGAAGAGCAGGAGCCAGGAGGGGGGTCCCTCCCCAGGCCAATTAGCAGAGGCTCCAGGGAGAACCGGGAATTAAGATCGCCGCGGGAGGGGCACGGAGGGGGCCTCATTAGGGCCATGGCAGCAGCTGCCCCCTCCAGCTCCTCAGGGCTCCCCCCCCCCAGCACTGGCCTCCTCAAAGGCTCCTCTGCTCGTTAACAGCCAGGGGAGAGGGCTGGGGAGCGTTCAACCCAGCCGCGGCCGATGGACAGATGGACACATGGCCAAGCAGGAGAGGACAAAGTGCTGGAGGAAGAGACAGGCGCCGGAAGATGAAAGACAGGTGAGGACAGACAGGAGAGGCTGGGGGAGGGCTGAAGGGATGGAGAGAGAGATGGAGGGGGAGATGGACGCAGAAGTAGAAGGGTCAGTGGGGTGGGGGAAGGGACCGAGAGAGGGGGACAGGAACAGAGGAGAGGGGGCAGGGTACAGACAGGACGATGGAGGGGCTAGGGAGAGATGGAGCAAGGTGGGGGGTGCAGGGACAAAGGGGGAGACAGGTGAGGGAGACGCAGAAGTGTAAAGCTTCATTCATTCATTCACTGATTCAGTCATTCCCAGGCCCATAGACGGTGGCCCCAGAGCGGACTGTGGGTACCAGGATGGGAGAGTCCTACCTGTTGCTGCTCGGGGCCAGGATGGCAGGCGGGTGGCGGCGGCTGGGAGGCAGCATCTGGGTCCCCCTCCCCGCTCCGCCCCCTCCCCTGGGGCACAGCCCCCAAGGGCCCGCCTCCTCCTGCCACTGCCACCTCCCGCCACCCCCACGCCTGGGTCTGTCCCTCTACGTCCTCTCTCTGCATCTCATCCCTTCTCTGTCCCTTGTGTCTCGGTCACTCCTGTGCTTTCCGTGTTGCCCTTGTCACAGGAAAGCCGTCTCTCCGGGTGTCCCCCGTGTCCCCCTGCGCTCACAGCCATGCAACCCTCCCACGCGTGTCCCCCGCGGCCTCTCAGCCTGTCACAGGCGGTCACACACAGACTCCCACACACAATCCCTCTCAGCGTAGCGCACCACGGCTGATGGCGGCTCGCGCGCTTCTCCCGGGTCCCTCCAAAAAACTTGTTTCAGCCCACCACGGTCTCACACACACTTCCGGATGTTACATACAACCTCCCTGTCAAGCACTCAAACACGACATCGCATGGTGTGACACCGTAACACAGCCACCGGTCCAGTGACACCCGCATCGAGCCACATGTGCTTATGCACACACACAGCTTCACACCCCCTCCCAGAGGATTGCACACCACCTACCCGGTCTCACACACACGCCCCACACGCGGGCTGCGTCACACACGGTGTCACACACACCACTTGCTGTCTGCGTCACACACGGCTGTCACACGTGCCGTCTCATTCATCATCACGCCTGCGTGCCCTGCACACACACACTCACACGGGGGCGTCACACAGCCCCTCAGAGTGGCTGACACACACCCAGGCTGTGCCCCTGGGGGTCCCCTCCTGCTGCCTGCCTGCGCCCTCTCTCGGTGAATCTCAGCCTAGCCCCCTCTGACAGGCAGCCTGCCCGTGTGACACAGCCGGACACCAAGTGGCACTCACTGCCTTACTCACATCCGCCGTCACCACACTCACACCCACCATGGCAGCTTCCTCCCCCCACCACTACCAGTAGGGCTCTCTCCCACCCATTGCCACGCGGGGTCACCCGCAGTCTCGCCGCATCACCGCTAATCTGCCCGCGTCACACAGCAGACACAGTCCCACCATCTCCTCGCACCACCCGGCGACGGTCCCACGCCCACGGCCCCTCGCCAGGGCGCACCTGCACAGAACGCCTACGGGGTGTACTCCCTGCCTCGCGGCCGCGCGCACCCGCGACGGCCCCCAAGGGTCTCCGGCCGACCCCCGCCGGGCCTCACGCACACACTCAGCCTCGGGCGGCTCCCGGCCGCCCCGCCGGACACACGGGGGCGCCCGCAGCCCGCGCGCCGAGAAGCTGCGCTGGCCGGGAGCCCCCCCACCGGCCTGCAGGAAGGTGCGGGGACCAGAGGAAGACGCCGGAGGAGGCGGAGACGGGTCGGAGGAGTGGCACCGAGGCGCGCAGGCAGAGAGGAAGAGCGAGGCGGGGAGACACCAGCCGCAGACAGGGACACGGACAGCAGCGGAGCGCGCTGCAGAGCGAGGGACCGAGGGGGACAGGGCCAGGAAGGGGCCTGCAGGGAGACGCGGGCGGGACACCCGGAGGTGGGGCACGGGGAACACGGGGGCGGGGAAGCGCGGACACGCAGAGAACCGGGCGCGCAGAGGGACAAAGAGACACCGGCGGCTTCCCCTGGGACCGCACGGTGGAGGCGTGGCCCTCGGGGGCGGTCCTGGGCGGGGCTTGCGGGGGCGTGTCCCGACGCCCCATTCGGGGGCGTGTCCTGGCCCAGCTGCGCTCCGAGGGGCGGGTCTCGGGGCTCTGGCGCCTGGAGGCCCCGGGAGCCCGCTGGGGGCGGGGCCGAGATGGGAGCCCCGGGAAGAGGTGGGAGTGGGGGAGGAGCGTCTGCCGGGCGCTCGGCCCGCTTCAATTTGGTTTTTACCGCCTGAACCGGGAGGGAAGCGAGACACGCGAGGAGGGGACGCCGGCCTGGGACCTGGTGGCGGTTGGATTGGGGAGGGTGGGGTACAGGCCCGCAGTGGCTCCCCTTCCCTTCCCCCGCGCGCGCCGCTGGACCAGGTGGGGGAGGGGAAGCGGTCCACATCTGGAAAGCATCAGCGCGCCGGACGTGCCAGGGCCTGGGGCCGGGCTGCGGAAGGAGGGAGGGGAGCCAAGGCACCCCCCCACCCCCGGAGCGGGGTCTGCCGGCGCCGAGGAGGGGCCTGGGCGTGCGCCGAGCCCGCGCCTCCCGCAGCTGGTTTCCATCAGCGGTTCTGGCCTGGGTAGCCCCCAAGGAGGAAACCCAGCTTGGGGTGGGGGCGGGGACAGGGTGACGACCCACTGTCCCCTCGTCTCCCCGACGGCGGCGGCCGGAGATTGGGGGTGGGGCCCGGACCGACGGACGCTGCCCCTGGCGAGCTGCAGACCCCGCCGTCCTCCCACCCCAGGACGGCCCAGGGCTCCGCGATGCTCTTCGGGTCCCACTTTATGGAACAGGAAACGGAGACCCCGGACTCGGGTTCACGTCTGGCTTCATGGGTGGGTGGCCACGGTGGATTCGAGGGCCAAATGCCCAGGACTGAAGTCCCCACCCAATACCTGGCGGCATCTCCAAGGAAGGCGTCCCAGAAGCTCCTGGGACACCTGACCTTCGGGGTCAGCGGGGCTCAACCCCTTCTCTCTCGCGCTCCGCAACCGACCTGGCAGCGCGGCCCGCTGACGGCAGCGCGGAAGCATCTCCGCCATCCCGCGGCTCCCACCTCCCCCGCGCCCGACCTGGCCCGGCCCCCAGAGGACGGCTGCCCGGCCTCCAAGCTGCGCTCCAAGCTTCAGTCCAGTCCCCGCAGAGCTGTGCGGGAAGGGACCACGGCTAAAACGTGGTCCCGGTAGGCGTCATAGCAAGTGTTGGCAAATACGGGGTCACAGCGGCGGGAACGCAAGTCGGTGCGGGCGGGCGTTTAGCACTGAGGCTGCCGCGTGCCTCTTGGGCTCGCATCCCTGATGGGAGGGCCTGGGTTCGAGTCCCTGATCCTCTGCCTGCACTGAGTTCCTGGCTCCTGGCCTCGGGCTGCAGCCCTGTCTTTTGTGCACATCCGGGGAGTGAACAGCAGTTGGAAATGGTCTCTTTCAAATAAAATGAAAAAAAAAAAAGTTTTTTAAGGAGTCAGGAAAGCATCTGGCCATCTGGCAATTAAACACATGCGAACCAGCAATTCCACTCCCAGGTAAGACACTGGAGAGAAACGAAAACCAAGTCCTGGCCTCACTCAAACCTGCACCCCAACATCACAGCAACGGGATTCTTCAGATCCTTCTTTTTTAAAGATTTATTATTATTATTATTATTATTATTTGAAAAGCAGAGTTACAGAGAGGGAGAGGGAGAGGGAGAGAGATGGATAGAGACGACTTCCACCTGCTGGCTCACTCCCCAAATAGCTGCACCAGCCTGTAAGCCAGGAACCAAAACTCCATCTGGGTCTCCCTCGTGGGTGCAGGGGCCCAAGTGCTTGGGCCGTCTTCCACTGCTTTCCCAGGTGTGTTAGCAGAGAGAGGCAGATCGGAAGTGGAGCAGCCGGGACTCGAACTCCAGGCTCTCATGGGAGCCCCAGCTCTGGCCCCAGCTGTAGCATTCTTAACAGCCCTAACATGCAAACAGCCCAAGCGTCTGGCATGGGCTGGACCTGAATGGGTGGACACACTTAATCCAGACGATGGAATATTACTTGGCAATGAAAAGAAATGGGATATTGACATGCTGTAGCGTGGGTGGATGCTAAATCAAAAAAGCTGTCCCCAAAACCACTGTTACATGTTGGCTTCCATTTATATGCAGTGTCCTGGATTGTCAACTCCACAGAAGACACAAGGAGAGGAATGGGTACCAGGGGCGGGGGACACTGGAGGGAGACGGTGGGGAGGGGGGCATAGGAAGGTTCTAAAATCGATCGTGGTGATGTTTGCACAGATCTGGGAATATACTGAAAACCATAGACCCATGCTTCATGGGGGGATTTCTCTGACCACTGAATTGTCTCAATTGAGTCATTAACCACACCCCCTCCAAAAAAATGGTAAGCCCCTCCCTGTTCATAGTTCTCCCATGGTTCCCACCGCACTGGGAGTGAAAACCAAGGCTCACCACGGCTCATGAGGCCCCACACATGAGGGGGTGGCCCCTCCCTTGTTCTCTGAGACCCCCTCCCCTCCTCGCTTGCACTGGTCCGGCCCAACTGGCCTCTTTGGCCGACAACCTTGGGATGGCTTTGGGCCTTGGCACCAGCTGGTCCTGGGATGTCCCACGAACCCCACTGCCCCTGTCTTGAAGGCTGCTCCAATGTCACCATCACTGATCTCACGCTGCTCCCTGTGGCGCCCAGGCCTCACAGTCGCCGCAGAATTTACCTGCTGAGTTTCATGTGCCTCCTGCCCTGGGAACAGCTCCTTGCATCTCCCTTTAGAGACCCTGCCTCCAGCAGACAGGCTGCGCAGGGTGGTGTCGGGCGCAGGGGATCTGCAGAAACACAGCCTGAGTTCGAATCCTGGCTCTGCCACTCACCAGCTTCAGATAAATTTCTTAACCTCTCTGTATCTCCCACGTCCATTGGAAAATGGGCGTGATGACCGTATCCAGCCTCATGAGGCTTAGTGAGGCCACAGACGTGGCGTGCTGAGTGTGATGCTGGCCAGTATCCTGCAGGCAGCAGGGTCCCACCCAGGAGGCAGGGTCATGCCGTTTCTGCCATGTTGACCTCCAAGTGGCCTGTGTGGCCCTGGACCTGCGTCCCTCCCCCTCCCTGGCCTCCGTGGTCCCTTTTGCAGAACAGAACTGGGGCAAATGTTCCCGGGGGTCTGACAGGCAGTGGCTTTTCCTGGAAAACTTTAACAAACAGGTTTTATTTATTGCTTTTCTAAAATACACACAGGCCTATCTCCCCGCGTGCACAAGAATGGGCGCTCCACAGGGCAGGAGCTGTCTTCTGTTCCCTGCTGGGCCCCGGAAGCAGAGGGGAGCCCTGCAGGCATACTCCTCCACAAAGGGACAGAGAAGTGGCCCACCCATGTGGACACAGAGGGCTAAGCAGCAACCAGGACCCCAGGGCGGAGCCTGGGCTCTGACTGCCAGTGGCTGGGTGACCAGGACAAGTCACGGCCTCTCTCTCTGTGACCCATCCATGCAATGAGTTGTAATGATTGGGTTTACGCGACAAAAATGGACGAGGAGTGTGAACAGGCAATTCACAGAAGAGGAAATACAAGCGCCCATGAGCACACAAAGCTGTGTGCGTCCTCAGGAAATGGGGGGCAGGGAGAGACTTGCTAATTCAGAGTCCATGGACAGGTGGCAGGCCTAGCCGTTAAGGTGCTGGAGGCGAGTTAAGCCACTGTCTGCAATGCTGGCATCCCATATGGGCACTGGTTCAAGTCCTAGCTGCTCCACTTCTGATCCAGCTCCCTGCTAATGTACCTGGGAAAGCAATGGAGGATGGCCCAAGTGCTTGGGCCCCTGCACCCATGTGGGAGACCCGGAAGAAGCTCCTGGCTCTGGACTTTGGCCTCGATCTGTAAATCCCTCTAACTCTGGCCTTCAAATAAACAACTGAATAAATCTGGTTTGGACGCCCTCTGCATCACTGCGCCTGGGCTCACACCCGGCTCCAGCGTCCTTCTCTTCCCTGGGAGGCAACAGCGACGGCTCCCTGCCCAGCCAGGAGGATGAGTTCCCAGCCCCTGACCAGTCCTGGCCACTGCAGGCCTTTAGGGAGTGAACCAGTGGATTGAAAAACTCTCTCTCTCTCTCTCTCTCTCTCTCCCCCCTCCCTCTCTCTCCCTCTCAGATCAACCGATCAATAACAATTAGAAAACAGGGTACAGCTAGCTCTCTCCCATAAGACTGGCAAAGCAGAAACGATGCAGAGCGTGTGTTTCTTTGGGAAACGAGCATCTCTCTCTCTCTCTCTTTTGACAGGCAGAGTGGACAGTGAGAGAGAGAGACAGAGAGAAAGGTCTTCCTTTGCCGTTGGTTCACCCTCCAATGGCCGCCGCGGCCGGCGCACTGCACTGATCCGATGGCAGGAGCCAGGAGCCAAGTGCTTTTCCTGGTCTCCCATGGGGTGCAGGGTCCAAGCACTTGGGCCATCCTCCACTGCACTGCCGGGCCACAGCAGAGAGCTGGCCTGGAAGAGGGGCAACTGGGACAGAATCTGGCGCCCTGACCGGGACTAGAACCTGGTGTGCCGGCGCCGCAAGGCAGAGGATTAGCCTAGTGAGCCGCGGTGCTGGCCCGAAAACGAGCATCTCACAAACGGCTGTCAGAGATGTGTGGGCAGGGGCGGCGTTGGTGGGTCAGGCCACAGTCTGAGCGACACCAGCACCCCACGTGAGCACCGGCTCAAGTCCTGGCTGCTTCACTGCCGGTCCAGCTCCCTGCCAATGTGCCTGGGGAGGCAGAGGAAGACGGCCCAAGTGCTTGGGACCCTGTCACCCACGTGGGAGACCCAGGTGGAGTTCCAGGCCCCTGGCTTCTGTGGCCCTTTGGGGAGTGAACCAGGGGATGGGGAAGGTCTCTTTCTGCCTTTCAAATTAAGAAAATAAGCCGGCGCCGCGGCTCACTAGGCTAATCCTCCGCCTTGCGGCGCCGGCACACCGGGTTCTAGTCCCGGTCGGGGCGCCGGATTCTGTCCCGGTTGCCCCTCTTCCAGGCCAGCTCTCTGCTGTGGCCCGGGAGGGCAGTGGAGGATGGCCCAAGTGCTTGGCCCTGCACCTGCATGGGAGACCAGGAGAAGCACCTGGCTCCTGCCATCGGATCAGCGCGGTGCACTAGCCGTGGCGGCCATTGGAGGGTGAACCAACGGCAAAGGAAGACCTTTCTCTCTGTCTCTCTCTCTCACTATCCACTCTGCCTGTCAAAAAAGAAATTAAGAAAATAAATATTTTTAATGGACATGCTATATAATGATCAAGCAATTCTACCTCCAGGAACAGACCCTGCAGACGGCACTATAGCAAGGCTCATGCAGTGGAAGGATGGGAACACTGACACAACAAGGTCAAGTTATGCAGATTCTGGGGCTGGTGATGTGGCTTAGTGGGTAAAGCCGCTGCTTGCAGTGCCAGCATCCCATATGGGTGCTGGTTCTAGTCCCGGCTGCTCCACTTCAGATCCAGCTCCCTGCTATGGCCTGGGAAAACAGTAGAAGATGGCCCAAGTTCTTGGGCCCCTGCACTCGTGTTGGGAGACCCTGAAGAAGCTCTTGGCTCCTGGCTTCAGATCAGCGCAGCTCCAGCCATTGTGGCCAGTTGGGGAGTGAACCAGTGGATGGAAGACCTCTCTCTCTCTCTCTCTCTCTCTCTCTCTCTTTCTCTCTCTCTCTACCTCTCCTCTGTGTTATTCTTTCAAGTAAATAAATAAATCTCTTCTTTTAAATTATGGAAATTCCCATGATGGAGTCTTATATGCAGCTATTACTTGATAATAATCTAGTGATAGGAAAAGAAATTCTCTAAAGACAGATGAAATGGTAAAATTCCTAGATGAACAGAACTTAGCAAAACTGACAGGAGAAAAAATAGAAAACCTACACAGTACTACAAGTATCAAGGCAGTGCAATCCTTAACCAAAACTTCTGCAGAAAGAGATCTCCGAGCACAGATACGTTCACACACACGCACACAAAAATGGGGTGCAAGCCCGTGGCCCACCTTCTGGGATGCCCCATTTCCCATCAGGTAGGGCTGGGTTCAGGACCTGGCTTGAGGTTCCAATCACAGCTTCTCCCTGGTGCAGACCCTGGGAGGCAGCGGCGATGGCGCAAGTGGTCGGGTCCCTGCACCCCATGTGGGAGAGCTGCACTGAGTTCCCAGCTGCGAGCTTTGGCTTGGCCCAGCCCTGTGATTGCAGGCATTTGGGAAGTGAACCAGCAAACAGGAGGAGCCTCTCAAATGAATATTTTTTTAAGTGATATGCTACATGTATGTAATTCAACTTATATATATAGCTTTGCATATAAATGACATACATATGAGAAGGTTTCAAAAGTTCACAGAACATGAAAGGAAAATACGTTATGAATTTTCCATGAGCTTTTGCAAGTCACCTCATTATGTATGGGCACCTGGGGGCCGCCCTGTTCCCCATACTGTTCCAACTTTTATTTATTTAGATTTTGCTAGGTATTTTCATCTTATCTGAGAGGCAGAGATCTTCCATTCATTCTGCACAAAGGCCAGGGCTGGACCAAGTGGAAGCAGGAGCCTGGAACTCCAGCCGGGTCTCCCGCAAGGGGCGCAGGGAGCCAAGCACTGGAGCCGTCACCTGCTGCCTTCCAGGGTGCCCTTAGCAGGAAGCCGGGTCAGGAGCGGAGTCGCCAGGGCCAGACACGGGCTGCCAGCGTCCCAAGCAGCGTCTCAGCAGCCGTGCAATGGCCGGTGCCTGAACTCCAGCGAGCAAACAGCCAGCGGTGGGATCACCAGCAGTCAGCCAGCGGGAGGAGAGGTGTTGAACGCCGGCTCAGCACCTGTTCCTCCAAAGAAGAAACATTGCTGCCACTCCTCCCCCAACCCAGAAGCCAGCCCACATGTATGTAACACTGTGCATTTATTTACAAAGAGGTCAGAGAAACACAGGGAATCCGGCCCCCGTGTGGACCGGGGAGTCGCCATCGTCATAATAAATACAGCCATTAAAAAAAAGGAGAAAACAGATACTGGCTTGGACCAGCCGAGGGTCCTCAGGCTCCCCCCACTCCCTCACAGGGGGAGCGCGAGATGGAGACCGTCTTCCTTCCCTCTCCTCCCTCCCGAGCTGTCCAGAGAGGGAGGTAGAAGAGTCCTTTCCAGGTGTCGCCAAGTCCTGTTTGACCCTCAAAACCCCCGAGTCGGAGCTCCCGCCCTGCCCACCTGAGCCAGGGCATGTCCCTGACCAGGATGCCAAGGGGGAATCAGCCTGAGGGTCCAGGAACATGGAGGGGCACTTTGTGAATGAGCCAGGGCACAGAAAGGAGGCTGGGGATGGGGGGGCCCGGTCAGTGACGGAAGTGAAAGGCTAACCGACAGACTAAGCTTCTAAGGTGGGGAGATTCGACCCGAATCACCGCTTCCGCCGGCGCGGACACCCATTGTACAGATGTGGAGAGTGAGGCCTGTGGAGGAGCAGCATCCTCGCCCAAGGGGTTCGAAGCCAGAAGCCACCCTGGATGGGACTCTGCCCCCGTTCCTCCCTGCAGACCCAGACCGCTGTGGCGGGGGCAGGGGGGCGTGAGGAGGGTCTTTGGGGAAAACAAAAACCCGGTGGTCTTTGGAAGGTTCACGTGGGAGGGTCGGCGATCGGGAGTGCGAAGGTGCAGAGGCCGCGAAGGGGGAGTCCCCGGAGTCACACCGTGGTCATGACCTTGAGCGAACCCGAACGGAAACGCAAGATCTTCTTCTTCAGGGCGTGGGACGCCTTGATCTTCACGAAGACTTTGGCAACGTCTGCGGCAGCCCAGTTGAATTCCTCTGTTTTGTGTTTTGCTTTAGTCTTTAGTATATTGAGTGAGGCCCCTGTCGTGGAGTTCGTGTCATTAGACCTTCATCCGAGAGTCTACATTACTTGTATTTGCGACAACTGAACTTGAAATTAATGTCATGTAATATACACAA